CTCCCCGGCCCCTATCCCCCGCGCATGCCCCCTCCCTCCGTAGGGGACCCAGGCGGGCGGGTCCGCGGCGGAAAACTAGCACCGCTCGAGTCCGCGCCCGGACTTCCTTTCTACAGTCCTCGCCATCAACTGCGCGACAGCGTCATATCTATCAAAATCGTTCAATAACGCATTACACAACGGCACCATGCAGAGAGACAGAATGAGATGGGGACTGACAACAACAATAATGCACAATGTGCTCGCGATTCCAGCTCCGCGCCTCCCACCTCCGCGTATAATAGACCTCCCCCACCTCCGCGTATAAGCCTCCCACACATTCCTGCAGTGCAAGCCGTCCAGCAACTCTTGTCATCTCTCGTTCACCAAGCGCCTGCTCAATTCACGAAAGCTAATCCGCCTTTGCTGTCATTAGCCAGCAAGCAAAGGAATAGAGTGAGCTGGGCCCGCGAGATCGAGAGAGAGCGAGAGAGAGAGAGGAGACTGAAGAGTAACCGAGAGAGAGAGTAGAGGGAGAGAGAGGAGAGGGAGTAGGGGGAGGAGGGAAAAGGAAGAGAGAGAGAGGAGAGAGAGAGACGAGAGAAGAGATAGAAGAGATCCCTGAGGCCGAGCGGAGACGTACATTATAATAACAGCGAGCCACCACCTAACACGGAGCGAGCACTAGCGCTGCAGATCTCGATCGGTCGTGTACACGCACGCACGCATCGCACGCACGTCACGCACGCACGCAGACGCGCGCGCGTCGCACTGAGAACGCCGCACGGACGCATGCGCGCTTGCGCTGCGCGAAGAAAGCGCGGCGTAATATAGAGGCAGGGGACCGCCTGGCGCGACCGGCCCATGGGCGTCGGCCTGACCGGCGGAAATAAATGTTGGCGGGCACAAGTCACGCGCACGGGGGAGGTGAGTGTGAGATAATTAATACATAAACCTATTCTAGAGGCAGTCGTGCAACGATGTCGTCGACTCGCGCTAACTTTACGACTCACACCAAAGAGCGGCGGCAAGGACACCGAGTATATGACCGAGCGGCGCGTCCGCGATAGCATGAGGACAGATCGCGGAAGGCAGAGAGATGAGGCCGAGAGGAGAAAGAAGAAAAAATAGGAGAGAAGGGCAAGAGCGACATGAGAGAAAACGGAGAGCATAGAAGGAGAAGGAGCAAGAAGAGAGGAGAAACAGTATATATATATATATAGGAGAGACAGCAGAGAGAGAGAGAGATACGAGAGAGAGAGAAGAGAGAGAGAGAAGAGCACGAGGGGGAGAGAGAGTGAAAGGAGAATCAGAGAGAGGGCAGTGAGAGAGAGCGGAGAGAAAAGAAACTACAGAGGGGAGGGAGGAGAATGGAGCAGATCGAGAGAGAGGGAGCAGAGACAGGAGAGGAGAGAGGCGACGAGGAGAGAGGAGCTCGACGAGACCGTGAGTGCGAGGACGGACGAGAGAGAGAGAGGGAGAGAGAGAGGAGGGAGAACCGTGTGGGTGGAGGGCACAGGGAGCGACGTGAGGAAGGATGCAACTGAGAGATCAGAGAAGGATAGTGTCTCCGAGCAACAACAGCAGTCAGTTTAGCCACGACGTTCAGCACGGACATTGGAATTACGAGGACATTGGGTGGACATCACCAGACCCCCCAGCCAAGAACACATCGACAGTCCGTACAATCTGCTTGGTCATTCGGGGCGATAATCGCTCTCACGTTCCTATACCTTACCAGTGATTGTTGGCTTGTAACATGGATAATACATATTACATCAGGAAATAAATACAAAAAACAATCCTGAGTTTCATTCACTCCGAATCCGATATGCAGGGCACGTTTGGTCACGCACGGTACTGAAGATTATGCTCAATTCGCAGTATTAATTCAACGGAATATCCCTGAGGAACGCGTACCGGCGCTACTCAATCAAACTACCGCGTTAATTCCGATGATTGAAGACGCCAGTAGGGTGTTACTTTTAATTCACAAACATTACAACCAAAATCAAACGCGAATTCTTTCTGGCGATCCCGGGCTTTTTTGCTTGTTGTTTCCCGCTGGGGGTTACGCGCGAGTCGCCGCTGTAATAGCGGGCGCCGCACATGCGCGAATCAGTCCACTGATTCCGGCTTTACGAACCTCGCGAATGCCAATGCGAACTTATTCCCGATACTCATACCGTCAGCCGAAGCACCGAAAGCAGCCTAGACGCGCCGCATGCAGCGGGTAGATGGTTCGCGACGGGCGACAGCAGAGAATTTCATCGCCTCTTTTGTGCATAATTTAATTTCATTGCTCTCTCTCTTCTCTTCTGTCTGTCTACTCTCGTCCTCTCCTCGTCATCTGCTCTCTCTCTCTTATCTTGCCTCTCTCGTGTTCGTCTCTCTCTCTCATTCGTCTCGTCTCGAGTTTATCTGTTCTCGTCTCCTCCGTCGCTCGCTCCCTCTCTTCTCTACTCTTCTCTCTCTCATCTTTCCTCTTTCCTCGTCTATCTCTCTCTATCTCTCATCGCCTCTCCTCTGTCTGTCTCTCCTCTCTCTGCGTCTCTCTGCTCTTTCTCGCTCTCTTCTCACTCTCGTCGCTTTCCTCCTCTCTCATCGTCTCTCTCTTTCTCTCTCTTGCTCGCCTCTCTCTCTCTTCTCTTTCTCTCTGCCTCTCCCTCGATCCCCCTTCTCTCCTCTCCCCCGTCTCTCTCTCTCTCTCGCTCTTCTCTTTCCCCTCTCTTGTTCTTTTTCTTTTTACTTGGTGCTTGGCGCAAATCCGAACAGATGCTGAGAATACCGACAGAGGGAAATCGTCGTGGTGCTCACGAATCCATGGCTGGACCGCACCGGCCGGGTCTCGGTGGTAACGGACCCCATGCTGGATTCATATAGTTATGCCGTGGTCGTGCGCGGGGAGCAAATTTTTTTCCCCACTTGAGTTCGACACAGCAATCAGCGCACTCCATTCACTCGGACTTCCTTGAGACAACATGTAAAGATTTAGATACCTCCTATCTCTAACCCTAACCCTAACCCTAAACCTAGTCCTAACACCGTACCGATCTCTAACACTAACTATAACCAGAGCCATATATATAAAACATATTATTACAAAAACACTATCTATGGTGGTAGCGCAACTCAAGTGGGGAGAAAAAAATTATCGCTGGCGGGCGAAGGATCAGCGGAATAATTCACTCTACATGAGTCTATACATTCAACGATCTTTTGCCCTCTCCTTCTGACTCACTCCGAACTGAAGCTTCCACGAGCGCAACGCAGCGGGCCTCCTCTTAGCACCTTCTCTAGGCCACTCTCGTGTATGCCGCGGGGAGCAGATTTTCCCACCGACCCGACCCAGGCTATGGAAGTCCGATCGCCGCCGCAACGATTTACAAAATGAAGTGGCAGCATTTAATAAGAGATGTGTTTTGGAAGCGTACTCGCCCGCAGTGCGGACTTCCGATATTTCATCGTCGCGCCGACCGGTTTCAGTTTATTTCTCGAACAATTACCAGCATTATATACCGCAGTACTGGGGTTATCACCTGTTATTATTTCATCGATAGTGAATGGGGGGCTCGAGAAGTTAGCGCGCGCAAACAGGGGGGGGTAATATAAACCTGTTATTAGAGAATACCAGCATTTACGCGATTGCGCAATCGGTGGGATGCGGGCGGTTAGTGCAGTTCGGCTCGCACGCGCGGACGCACTTGAGTTACGTACGCGTAGTCGCCACGTACTTAGATATTATCATATATATATACTACTATATATATATATATATATATCCGTTATGTCTTCGCTTCGAGTTTTGATTTCTCTCACTGAGCTGCAAATTTCGACGCTATATATATACGTACGCAAAATATGCGCGAATATTGCGGGTGATATGCCATCGGTCGCCATTCTATAATATACATTGCTATATCTTGGCAGCCTGATGAGCGTATCGCACGAGCATGACGAATCCATTGCCTCAGTCGTGCACGATGCAACATGCGAAATACATGGCGCCGGATGGTTTGAGTCTGCTTTGCGGTAGCATGCAGCCGAGCCCCGCATAGCCGCGCTGAAGCTGGCATGTGATTCAATCAGTTCGCGTCGCTCTTCTCCGGAGACTGGCCTTGCCATTTCACGGGACACATGCCATAGGATTGATTCCTTCCCCAAGTGCTTATATAGGCGGATGCTACGTTCCCTCTTGTGCCCTTCTATGTCCTGGTGTTATAAAGAGCATTACCCTCGTTTCACTCGTAACTTTGTTCTATGTGTAATCTCGTTTCTCTTTGTCTCTTTGTGTCATTATAATCTGCTGCGATATCAATCGTCATATAATGACATAAGTCACCGAGAGAACGAGCGTGTTTCGTACGATAACCCTTTTTTACTCCATAACGCCTACTCTATTCCTTTGTTGCTGCCTAATGAGCAGACAAGCGGATTAGCTTTCGTAATTGAAGCCGGTGCTGGTGAACGAGAGATGAAAGGTTGATGGACGCTTGCACCTGCAGGATGTGGTGGGGAGGCTATACGCGGGAGGTGGGGGAGGCTATATACGCGAGAGGTGGGAGGCGCGGAGCTGGAATCGCGAGCACATTGTGATATTGTGTTGTCATCCCCATTCACTCGTCTCTCTGCTTGCGTGATTGTGTAATGCGTTATTGAGATTTTTGATAGATATGACGCTGTCGCAGTTGATGGCGAGAATGTAGAAAGGAAGTCCGGGGGATAAGTTAGTTCGGATTTAGGAGGAGTGAGAAGGGCAGGGAGAGGGACGGAGAGAGGAAGAGGAAGAGGAAGAGGAAGAGGAAGAGTGAGATTGAGAGCATAGCGACGTGGAAAGAGAGAAAGAGAGAGAAAGAGAATGAGAAAGAGAGGGACCGAGAATGAGAGAGGGGGATATGCACATGGGAGTGATGAAATTTGCATAGAGGTAAAGTAAGGTTCACGGGTATAAATATGCATGGATGGCGTTAGTGCATATAGTTAACTGTATTAAATTTGGTATAATAAACCTGTATACATACCTGTAGCTGTTTAAGCTGGTCGCTCCACTTACAGCCAGCCTTGCTGTGTATGCACCTAATCTTCATCGACATGACCGTTGCCTCGGTGTCCGGGTCCGCATAAATCTGCAACAATGCAAACGCAGAATTATATACACAATACTTACGTTACGTGGTTGCCGACACGGTTAGCTTCCTATTTACACCGTGGTCACGTTCACAGGTAACCCCACACAGCTGCCGCCTCTGCAGCTATATACACCCCCAGCTACGTAGCTACCACTACATCTATACACACCACACAACTATTCTCTGTTGTTATCACCATACACGCACGCACACGTGCACACACACGCGCGCACATACACGCTTATCTAAGTACGGTGCGACTACGCGTACGTAACTAGTGCGTCCGCGCGTGCGAGCCGAACTGCACTACCGCCCGCATCCCACCGATTGCGCAATCGCGTAAATGCTGGTATTCTCTAATAACAGGTTTATATTACCCCCCCCCCCTGTTTGCGCGCTAACTTATCGAGCCCCCCATTCACTATCGGATGAATAATAACAGTGAATAACCCCCAGTACTGCGGTATTTAATGCTGGCATTGTTCGGAAATAAATGAAACCGCAGCGACGATGAAAATCGGAAGTCGCCACTCGGCGACGTAGCGTTCCAAAACACATCTCGTTATTAAATGCTGCCTTGCATTTTTAATCGTTGCGGCGATGATTCATAGCTGGGTCGGGTCGGTGGGAAATCTGCTCCCAGCGGCATACAGAGAGGCGCTAGAAGGTGCTAGAGGAGGCCCGCTGCGTTGCTCGTGAAGCTTCAGTTCGAGTGAGTAGAAGGAGGAGGGCAGAGTGAATGTATAGACTCATGTAGAGTGAATTTTCCGCTGATCCTTCCCCGCCAGCGAAATTTTTTTCCCCACTTGAGTTCCGTACCCACCATAGATAGTGTTTTGTAATAAATGGTTCTTATATATATGGTTGGATTATAGTTCGTGTTAGAGATCGGGTACGGTTTAGGACTAGGTTTAGGGTTAGGGTTAGGGTTAGAGATAGGAGGTATTCATTTTACATTGTTGCTTCAAGGAAGTCGAGTGAATGGAGTGCGCTGATTGGCTGTGGTCCGGAACTCAAGTGGGGAAAAAAATTTGCTCCCCGCCACGACCACGCGATAACTATATGAATCCAGCAATGGGGTCGTTACCACCAGACGGCAGGTGCGGTCAGCCATGGATTCGTGCACCACGACGATTTCCCTCGCGGTATCCTCTCACATCTGTTCGGCATTGCGCAAGCACCAAGTAAAAAGAAAAAGAAAAAGAGAGGGGGAAAGAGAGAGCGAGAGAGAGAGAGAGAGGGGGAGAGGGAGAGAGAGGGGGAGAGGGAGAGAGAGAGAGAAGAGAGAGAGAGAGAAAAGAGAGATGAGAATGAGAGAGCGAGGAAAGCGAGAGAGTGAGAGAGAGCGAGAAAGAGAGAGAGAGTAGAGAGAGAGAGACAGACAGAGAGAGAGGCGAGAGAGATAGAGAGAGATAGACGAGGAAAGAGGAGAGATAGAGGAGAGAGAGAGAAGAGAGCGGAGCGAGCAGAGAGAGAGAAAGATAAATCGAGAGAGCGAGAGAGAGAGAGATGAGAAACAGAGAGGAAGATAAGAGAGAGAGAGAGAGACGAGGAGAGGAGAGAGAGACACGACAGAAGAGAAGAGAGAGAGCAATAGAAATTAAATTATGCACAGAAAGAGTGCGATGACAATTCTCTGCCTGTCGCCCCCGTCGCGAACCCCAGTCTACTTACCGCTGGCATGCGGCGACGTTTCTAGCTCTTTCGCGGGGTGATCAGGGTCTATGAGATCCGGGACACTGTTCGCATTGGCATTCGCGAGGTTCGTTAAAGAGCCGGGAAATCAGTGGACTGATTCGCGCATGGCGGGCGGGCCCGCATTACAGCGGGCGACTCGCGCGTAACCCCCAGCGGCGAAACAACAACGCAGAAAAAGCCCGGGATCGCCGCAGAAAGCAATTCGCGTTTGATTTTGGTTGTAATGTTTGTGAATTAAAAGTAACACCCTACTGGCGTCTTCAATCATCGGAATTAACGCGGTAGTTTGATTGAGTAGCGCCGGTACGCGTTCCTCAGGGATATTCCGTTGAATTAATACTGCGAATTGAGCATAATCTTCAGTACCGTGCGTGACCAAACGTGCCCTGCATATCGGATTCGGAGTGAATGAAACTCAGGATTGTTTTTTGTATTTATTTCCTGATGTAATATGTATTATCCATGTTACAAGCCAACAATCACTGGTAAGGTATAGGAACGTGAGAGCGATTATCGCCCCGAATGACCAAGCAGATTGTACGGACTGTCGATGTGTTCTTGGCTGGGGGGTCTGGTGATGTCCACCCAATGTCCTCGTAATTCCAATGTCCGTGCTGAACGTCGTGGCTAAACTGACTGCTGTTGTTGCTCGGAGACACTATCCTTCTCTGATCTCTCAGTTGCATCCTTCCTCACGTCGCTCCCTGTGCCCTCCACCCACACGGTTCTCCCTCCTCTCTCTCTCCCTCTCTCTCTCTCGTCCGTCCTCGCACTCACGGTCTCGTCGAGCTCCTCTCTCCTCGTCGCCTCTCTCCTCTCCTGTCTCTGCTCCCTCTCTCTCGATCTGCTCCATTCTCCTCCCTCCCCTCTGTAGTTTCTTTTCTCTCCGCTCTCTCTCACTGCCCTCTCTCTGATTCTCCTTTCACTCTCTCTCCCCCTCGTGCTCTTCTCTCTCTCTCTTCTCTCTCTCTCGTATCTCTCTCTCTCTCTGCTGTCTCTCCTATATATATATATATACTGTTTCTCCTCTCTTCTTGCTCCTTCTCCTTCTATGCTCTCCGTTTTCTCTCATGTCGCTCTTGCCCTTCTCTCCTATTTTTTCTTCTTTCTCCTCTCGGCCTCATCTCTCTGCCTTCCGCGATCTGTCCTCATGCTATCGCGGACGCGCCGCTCGGTCATATACTCGGTGTCCTTGCCGCCGCTCTTTGGTGTGAGTCGTAAAGTTAGCGCGAGTCGACGACATCGTTGCACGACTGCCTCTAGAATAGGTTTATGTATTAATTATCTCACACTCACCTCCCCCGTGCGCGTGACTTGTGCCCGCCAACATTTATTTCCGCCGGTCAGGCCGACGCCCATGGGCCGGTCGCGCCAGGCGGTCCCCTGCCTCTATATTACGCCGCGCTTTCTTCGCGCAGCGCAAGCGCGCATGCGTCCGTGCGGCGTTCTCAGTGCGACGCGCGCGCGTCTGCGTGCGTGCGTGACGTGCGTGCGATGCGTGCGTGCGTGTACACGACCGATCGAGATCTGCAGCGCTAGTGCTCGCTCCGTGTTAGGTGGTGGCTCGCTGTTATTATAATGTACGTCTCCGCTCGGCCTCAGGGATCTCTTCTATCTCTTCTCTCGTCTCTCTCTCTCCTCTCTCTCTCTTCCTTTTCCCTCCTCCCCCTACTCCCTCTCCTCTCTCTCCCTCTACTCTCTCTCTCGGTTACTCTTCAGTCTCCTCTCTCTCTCTCGCTCTCTCTCGATCTCGCGGGCCCAGCTCACTCTATTCCTTTGCTTGCTGGCTAATGACAGCAAAGGCGGATTAGCTTTCGTGAATTGAGCAGGCGCTTGGTGAACGAGAGATGACAAGAGTTGCTGGACGGCTTGCACTGCAGGAATGTGTGGGAGGCTTATACGCGGAGGTGGGGGAGGTCTATTATACGCGGAGGTGGGAGGCGCGGAGCTGGAATCGCGAGCACATTGTGCATTATTGTTGTTGTCAGTCCCCATCTCATTCTGTCTCTCTGCATGGTGCCGTTGTGTAATGCGTTATTGAACGATTTTGATAGATATGACGCTGTCGCGCAGTTGATGGCGAGGACTGTAGAAAGGAAGTCCGGGCGCGGACTCGAGCGGTGCTAGTTTTCCGCCGCGGACCCGCCCGCCTGGGTCCCCTACGGAGGGAGGGGGCATGCGCGGGGGATAGGGGCCGGGGAGAGGGACGCGCCGGGAGAGAGGACGCGAGGAAGAGAAGAGAAGAGTGAGATTGAGAGCCATATGAGCGCCCACGTTGGAAGGAAGAGAATGGGGAAGGGAGGTACGAGACAAAGAGAGACTGAGAAAGAGAGGACCGAGGATGAGAGAGGGGATCTGCACATGGGAGCGTATGAAATTATGGCATAGAGCGTAGAGAGTAAGGTTCACGGGTATACAATATCGCATGGATTGGCGTTAGTGCATATAGTTTAACTGTAGGTTAGAATTGGTGCGCCTATAATAAGGCCTGTATAGTCATACCTGTAGCTGTTTAAGCTGGTCGCTCCACTTACAAGCCGGCCTTGCTGTGTTGCATCGAATCTTCATTCGACATGAAACCGTTGGCCTCGGTGGTCGCGGGTCCGCATACATCTGCAACAATGCAAACGGCAGAATATATACACCAATTACTTAGCGTTACTGTGGTTGCCGAACGGTATTAGCTCTATCTCTTACCCGTGGCACGTTCACAGGTGTACCCCACCAGCTGCCGGCCTCTGCAGCTATATACCCCCAGCTCGTGAGCTACGCACTACATCTATACACAGCCACACAAACTATTCTCTGTGGTTGCTATCACCGATGACCACGCACGGCACACGGTGCACACACGACTAGCGCGCACTATACACGGCGCAACGCACGCACGCACGCACGCAACGCATGCCCACGCAAACGACGCGGCACACGGCACGCGCGACCGCAAACGCCACGCAGCACACGCACGCACGCACACACACACGCCACTCGCACGCACGCACCACGCACGCGCACGCACGCCACGCCAACGCAACGCCACTGCGGAGCAGCGCACGCACGACACGCCGCACACGCGCACGACACACACACAGCACACGCACACACGGCACGCACCGCCACGCACGCACACACACACAACGCCCGCACGCACCACGCACACAGCGCACGCACACGCACCACGCCACGCACGCACACACACACGACACACACACACACAACACACGCAACCACACACACCACACGATACACACGCACGCACGCACGCCACGCAACGCACGCACAACTACAGAGAACCAGCGGCGAGGGCAGCGCGACGCACGCACGCACACACACACACACACACACACACACACACACGTGCCGTCACTCCTCAAGCAGGGCGTCACACACCATTCAATTCTCGCACGTGAGTCGATCGTAACTCAATTCAGCCGCGCTGCTCGTAACGTCGTAACGGGACCGGATCGCCTGCGTCGGAACTGGCGAGCTTTTACGGACATACACAGACAAGGAAGCCACGGGCCGCCACTACGGGGCGCGAGCAATTACTTCTCACAACCGCTGCGAAAATATAGCCGAACTAAGAGCAATGAAACGGCTGCGGGTCGTTCTAGCTGCGCAGTGAGAGAAAGAAAGGTCGTCTTCGAAGCGATGTCCTCATGCAAGATTCAACGCATGCAAATCGACGGTGACGTGCGCAGCTGTGGGTCGGTGAGTACACGCAGCTGCAACCCGTCTGCTGCTGTCTCCTTCAACGTCGCTCGTGCCCTAGACTGCACCGTGTTCGCCCTGAAGCCTTGAAGGTCAGTGGTGAAGCAACATGGCCGCCATCGGCAGCCGGTTGACATAACGACGGCTTTGACTGAATAACCGTGTCTATAATCGCGCACCGTAGCTATTATTTCCTGCTACAAACGCCCAAGATGCCATTTTGGAGCGGTTTTCTCTTGAAATCCACAATGTATCTATTCAAGGATCCAATGAATTACACCGACGAATGCGTCCCACGCTTTTGTGCGGAGTAATATTGACACAGCGACTCCATATGTGACTCGACCGCTATGCTTATAAATCTGTACTTCGTTACGGCATGCGATATAGTACGTAACTAAGCCAAACTTTAATATTTACTAACCTCATAATTTTGTTAATATCTCTTAGTGAAACTAAGTTTGAACAACAGTTTATTATTTCCTCAATACTAGGTTTTTATGAGGATGTAAAAAAACCGTTTAATTCGTTGTACAAAACTACTATCCTAATAATACTAGACTATGCCGCTTGCGCAACTTCGAGTTTTTAAGATTTTAAACAGACGGTCATGGCGGTTCGTTTACATTTTGCGAACTACGTTCATCAATTCACAAGGCTTGTTTGTGCTATTGTGGCAGTGTTAGAACATTTTTATGTGGCAAT